TAATAACCTAATAATGTAACTTTTTTCTATCAAATTTTTATACAATATAAACTAAGAGCAAGAAGATCTGTTCTGATCTGTTTAGCAAGAAAGTGCTGTGTTTCAATCATCATGCGCACCTCCATGGAAAGAGATGAGTATGATGAAGAATATCCAAGGGAGATACTTCTTGTTTGTAGAAATAGGTTGGATTCCTTCCACATGAGTCATAAGAAAACAATTGTGTCCCCATAGCATTGAGTTTAAAGCCCAAAAGAGACAATTAAATAATCTGACTTGTTATATGTTACAGTCCAAACAACCCAAACAATCATGTTTATATAAAAAATATCTACACTGAAGGCCCAAAGCTGGGTGGATCATTCAGTACTGGAGTTAGTGCAAGCCAGGCTACCTAGACTTTGGTGTGCAAACTGTGAGGGGGAGAGAAAGAAAGGATAGCATCAGCGACTGTTTTCACTGGGGATTCCTGTTTTATTACCCCTGCAGGGTCGTTCTAGCAATTATGTATCCACTATGTTAAAATTTAGTGTCAAATTTCTAATTTGAATTTAAATCATTTCTGATTTTAGCTCACAGCCAATCTTTTTTTTCTTTCTTTTCTTTCTTTTATTTTTTCTTCCTCCTCCCCCCCCCCCCCCCCCCCAACCACTTACATAGTGTAAGGCTGTAATCCTATGATTTTTGGTGGTGGTACAAGATAAATTGCAAATATAATTGGGCTACATGTGCAACAGATAATCTTTTTTTTTTTTTTTTTTTTTTTTTTTTTTTTTTTTTTTTTTTACCTCATCCTTTACTCATCTTATTTAGGTTTGATGATTTAAAATTTTTATTGCTGCTAGGTGTAGCTTTTCATTTACTAATGGACCATCAGTCAAACCGTGCATGTATTTTCAAGCCAATTAGCAAGATTACTTGAGTCAGGTATACTAAAGGGCCTTAACAATGTCTTACATTGACATAACAACATCAGTCTGAAAGGTAATCAAATCTACATATATATATTTAAAAGATTATCTGCATGAAGATTTCTCTTATTTGGCCACTTTGAAGAGTTATCTTTCTCTCCTGCCTATTGGAATTACATGATCATGATCTCCAATAAATAGAATGAGTTCAGAATTAGTGATGTAAAAACTGCACTTTTGACATAATTGCATTCAACCATCCACCCTCTTCTTGTGTAAATACGGTGAACCTGCTAAATTGCAAAGTTGAGACAAGTTATAGGCGTTAGCTGTGCTCTGAGTACTAGTATTAAACGTCTTGCTGAATCCATAAGTCCACATGCTTCCTCAGAGCTATTCTACAAATAGGATGACAAAAAGAGCTTTTATGATATGATATGATATGATATGATATGATACGATATAATATGTTTTTATTTTATTTTATTAAATAAAAAAAACTTTTATTTGGGTAAGAGTAACTGATTATGTACTCATTCTTAAAGAATCAACAGTAGCTAATGTATTATAAGAAATGATAAAAGCAATTGGGAAAAGAAATGCCAGGATAACCAGAAAAATAACTGGACAAAGGTGATGTTTTTGCCCTCAGCAAAGAAAAGACAGCATAGCAAAGTGTTGTAACAATCATAACATCTTCCAGATTCTGCCTAAGAACAAAGTCCTTGTCTATATGATGAAAGATCACATGAAGTTAAAGGGCGGATTCAGAGAGAAGAAAGGCACATATGACTAATCACAACCATCTGTAACATTTTTGATAAAAGGAGGGCAGTATAATCATACATGGATCATTTTTTCAGCTTCTCAAAAATTATGACACCATCTGACTTGACCAGTTCTAGGCATCCAGATGTGGGAACTCTAAGCTCTCTCATTGAACTCATCACAAATTTCTGTCAGCAACAGCAGAGAAGAGTGTGAATAGAAAGACTCTACAGCAAATGGTTTTCTGTCAGACAGAGGATGAGAAAAGGATTCAGCATGTATGTAGTACTTCTGGAACAAGTGTGGGAAAAATTTGTAAGAACAGAAATTGCTAGGTCTGCTATTTTTTGACATCTCTACAATAACTTCAGATACACTAATGGAATGACAGACCAACACTGTAAATGTAACTTACTCCTAAATGTGATGAGAGTAGAAAGAAATTAATTGAGCGTGTTTGCTGACTCATCAAAAAGGAAGCAGGCAAAAATCTTTATCTAGTTCTTCACAAAGTGAATGACTAAATATTGAGGATCTGAAACATGACTTCTCCCTCATCTTTCCTGCATGTTTTTATGTATGTATGCATAAAGATTAAGAATACTTCTTCTATGGAGTCTTAAGAATACTTCATTCTTCCGTGGAGTCAGTCACAAAAATGCAAAAGATTTTGGTATCTTAAATTGTTTATAGCTTTGATTTCTGAAAAACTTCTTTTTCTTTTCTTCATTTTTTCTCCCCCAAATTTGTTAATGAGTATTCATCATGGAAATTTAACTACTGCTGATAGAACATCAGTTCAAACTTAGTTATAGCTGGAGATCACAACATTTCTGCTGTAGTGTCATGTGAAACTATAGCACATGTGGCATGATTTCTTTTCTCCCAGATCCTCTCTGCTTTTTAGTAGGTATTCAATTTGAACACAGGGTCATCAATGTATTCATCTCACAGACCCTTGAGAGTACAGTAAGAATGTCATTCTGTAGGGGCATAGTGGCTTTCTTTGTGGATATCATCAGGTGTTTCAGGTTTTTTTTACTCAACAAGGCTTTCTTTTAGAAGGGATTTGTCTTTTAGGTGTCAAGGAAAAGCAAACATCTTCCACACTGTAGGCAAACCACACTCTTTTTCACACAAGTTGATGTCAGTAGGGTTCACAGCACAGAGGAAAGGATATTACTGCTTTAGTGACTTACCTACAGGCAGGGTAGAAGGGTGAGCTCAAAATCACTCTCTTACTCTTACCCTTCACATACATGATGGAGGAGATGACACTACTACTTTCTGACTGTTCAACTTTGCCAGTAGCTTAGAGGTTTTCTGAGATTATGGAATACATGAAATATTTCACTCAGCAATTCTACCTAAGATGGCAGAGTTTGCCATTCACTGCATTCTTGACCTATAAGAATTGAGAAATTACTAGAATGGGGTGTAACTGAAAGTGCATAGTGAAAGAACCATAGAATCATAGAATTGCTCAGGTTGGAAAAGTCCTTAAAGATCATCAAGTCCAACTGCAACCTAACCATAGTACCCTAACTCTAACGGCTCACTGCTGAATCATGTCCCTGAGCACATTTTGATGATTTATAATTCCAAGAATTCGGTGTAAGAATGAGTTTATCTGTTAGGAAAGGTATCTAAGGGTATATAAAACCAGGAAATTATTTCATGAAGTATTTCAATGCATTTTACATTAATCTTTTTTTTGTATATGTGAAATAAATATGAATAAAATATGATGCTTGAAATCTTCACTAAACAACTTTTTATTTTTTTCTTGTTCTTTCTTTCTGCTTTCAAATTAATCATAACTTTCCTTTGGTTACTTTTGAGGTCTCAGGGAATAACAGGAATGTCACTAGTGAAATTTTAAAATTCACAGGAATTATGTCAGAACATTATATTACTTAATGGAAAACAACCTATGTGAAAGAATATCTTTTCCTGAGACAAAACTTGTATAACTCTATTTACACTGTTTTAGCTAGATTGAAGAAGGCTTTCACATATTTTGAGCACTTTGGATTTTGAACTTCAGTAGGTAGGTCAAAAAATAAGTTTTCTGTAATATTTGCCTGAAGATTCAAAGCAGAATTGTCAGCTATTGTCAGGCTTTTTTTTTCCCACTATTCTGTTTTTCAGGGTTATTCCAATGAGGGGAAGAACTTAAATATCATAATATATTATTATTATTATTATTATTATTATTATTTACCTCTGCACTACAGGGTTTTACAAAGAATATCCATTTTTATTCTTCTCCTTATTTCAGCTGGGATTAAATTGACTTTTCCTTCATAGTGCTTAATAGGATGCTATGTTTAGAAGAAAAATAGTGTAGACAACACACCAATGTTTTGGTTGTTACTAGCAGTGTTGGTTAGAACCAAGGATATTTCAGTTCCTCAGCTTCTCACACTGTCCTGGTGGGGGGGAGGGGGCACTGAGGGGGCTCAAGGAGTTGGGAGGGAATAGAACCACAGCAGCTGACCTAATCTGGCCAATGGGATATTCCATACCATATGAAACGAAGAAAACACCTTGAAAAAGTTTGGAGAGTTGGTCTGATGGGCAGCCACTGTTTGAGGACTGGCTGGGTGCTGGTTGGTGGGTGGAGAGCAATTGCCCATGCTTATTTCATCTTCCTTTTCTGTCTTAGTAAATAGTTTTCTTGTAATTCTCTCTCTCATCTCACTGCGAGGGTGGGGAGAACAAGTAACTGTGTGGTGCTTCCTTGCCTTTCCCTTTTCCCTTTTCCCTTCTCCCTTTTCCCTTTTCCCTTTTCCCTTTTCCCTTTTCCCTTTTCCCTTTTCCCTTTTGCCCTTTCCCTTCCCTTTCCCCCTTCCCTCCCCTTTCAAATCCTTTACTCTAGCAAATAAATGGCACTGGAGGGAGAGCAGCTGGTACAAACACATCGGTACTTCTGAGTGCTGTATTCTCTTAGATTAAACTTAGGAGTAGCACAAGGAGTTTACCACACTGAGAAATTACACATATATTCTCCCCACTAATAATACAGCTGTCAGTTCTCATCACATAATTAAGTTCTGGGATCCAATAAATTTTCCAACAATACTTTCTCTATTCCCTGCCAAGTAAGAACTATTGCTTTATGGGAGTATGATATTGTCACAAAGCTTAAGCAGTTCATGTACACCATAAGATACATTTTTGTATTTATGCCTAAAATTCTAACAGCAGCAGCTTTCCAGGACTGGCAAAACATATTAGGTTTAGCTGTTCCAACAGTAAATAATAAAAACTGTTATTATAAAGTAATGCACTTCAGGTTGACACAAGTTTTAGGAGTACCTGTTATATAATACAGTATATATTCTAGCTGAAACAGGTAGTTTGCATAATCCTTCCAGAACACAACTGAAGGGAAAAGTGACCATACTTTTCACATTCTTGACTGCTTCTAAGAAAGCCTGAATCTGAAAAAAAAAGAAATGCAGTGCCCCATTATTTCATTTGATTTCTGCTTTGACTGAGTTTTTGAGCAAATCTTACTATGTGTTTTACACCACCAATCTTTAACATGAGAATAAGAGAATAAGGAATAAGACTTTACAATTAACCTGATTGCTTTCACAGTGTTAATGCCAGATTCAAAATATAGGAAAGGTTTTTAATTATCACTACTCAAAACAATAGCAAAGTTGTTAAATTCTTTTGTTGTTAACAAAGAGATCCAAAAATTACAGAAGTAGGAAAATAGCTAGGAAAATCCAGGAATTATGAACATAACCATTTACTCTGAAGTGTTTCTATCCAAAGCTAATTCCCCAAAGACTCAAGTCTGCTCTGATCTAAATTCCAAGGAGGAATATCAAGTAGGAACAAGATCTAAAAACTATCTCCACAGTAGTGTTGCCTCTTTGGAGCACTGGTGTCCTCTCAGAAACCCTTCACAGAATCACAGAATCACAGAATCACAGAATCATAGAATCACAGAATCACCCGGGTTGGAAGGGACCTCAAGGATCATGTAGTTCCAACCCCCCTGCCTAGCAGGGCCACCAAACGTACACATTCAGTGTTCAATGATATTGCAAGTCAGAATAGACCACACAGAAGTTTCAACATTTTTGGATAAAGTGATGGCATTAACTTACATGCACAAACGAAACAAAGAAACATGAACAGTGTGTTGTCTCCTCTTCTACTGGAAGACAAAATGAAACATTATTGCAAATGATGACATTAGACTACAGGGGGCTGTTGCATTCCATAGTATTTATAGCCTGTTAAACTACTGAAATTATTACAACTTGGTTAGATTCTGTAAAATACAACACAAGCAGAACTCTTCACACTATACAAAGTTCTCCTTCTTCACTGTCTCCAACATTTGATCTCATCTAATTTCCAGCTCAGAAATCATAAAAGCTCTCTTACCTGCAAGTAATCACTCCCTCATGTTATGGGAACCATCCTAAACCTGGAAATTTTCTTTGTTTCTTTGAATCTCTTGGTAGTCCCACAGCTTGCCTTTGAACTGAAAAGCCATCCATGTGTTCCCAATCTTTGCGAGCAGAAGAATATTTGTGAGTACAATTCAGAATATGTGTTTGTATCAAATTTTAAAACCAATTCACAAAATTTATAGTTTGAGGCCTCATGACAATATTTATATTTTCTAATATCAAACCAAAAATTCAGTTCTATATTTTATAAATTTAATATCATTGCAACTTAAATTCCTTTGTTAGAAGATCATTTGGATCACTGCTTGATTTGGTGTCAGCCAGTCTTTTTTATTACCATGGAAGATTTAAAAATAACTGCATTTATTCTATAACATTTCCATTTGGAGTACATTAACCATAAAATCTCTAGTTAACATTTCATGCTTATATTTATTTTCCTGTTTTGTAACCTAAGCTTGATTCCAAATTTTCAGTACATGATATGAGTACTGAGGACTTTAAAACAATCTGCATTAGCCTTGCATACCTTATCAGATTAAAAATTAAACAATATGCACTGCTGAATCTGTCAACACATATGCAGAGCCTTTGAATTCCACAGTAATTCCTCTTGATGTCATCAGTGTTGCAAGGTGAGTTTCTTACAAACAAAAACTAAATCATAACAAAACAGGATTACCTGTTTATAAACTCATATATATTTGTCTCTAGGCAGAATGACATTGCAAAGCATTGAAAGTAGTTGCTAATCAAAGTGACAGTCATATATAGAAACAGTAACTAAACTTTAGAAATATCAAGTGTAGTTAATTCACAAAGAGTGAATAAGAAAAGCATACATGGCTACATTTTCTTTCTTATGCATTTCGCCCTCTCTTGGTGCTGTTTTAGTTGGTTCCTTTCTAAACATTTTCTTAACATTATAGAAAATAATCACTCATCCTAAATGGACTGTACCACTGGATGCAAGCGTAAAGGCTGTGGTTCTCAACGTAAAAACATTTTTTATAGTGTCAAAGTCTCAGTGTAAAAATATTTTTAAAATGCATATAGTTACAGTTATCAAATATTCTGAATTCATTTTTACACATTTCTCTGAAATAAGGTTTTGAACTATGTCCACCAGCTTGCCAAGTTTCAGATATGCCAAAGTTTTTTCCTCTTTACTGCATGGACATCAGCCCCATACATCTGTGAAGGGTTAAACTAATGCGTATGTAAACACTTCTGGGTAAAGAACCTTTTTTCTTTTTCTTGCCTGTTGTTTCTAGAGAATTGCTGTGGCCAACAAATTTCTCCCTAATTCAAAAGGATGAGAAAGAGAGATGAGATTAGGAAATGCATGGCGAAATAGAAGAAGGAGGGAAAACTAGAAATGATTGTAGAGAAAAACAGAAAGGGGAAGAAAATGAAAATAATACAAATGAATTAAGATTTATTAAAGCAAGAGAAAGAAAAAAGAATGATAGGGGAGGGAGTAATTGGTCAAACTTTATGGCTGTATGAGGAAGTAAAATCTTACATTAGGAAATAAAGGTTCTTAATCTAGACCTGGAGATAATATGGCTGTGATAAATATGCCAAACACAAAATATATTTGCAGAACTAAAAAGTAGATTACATCCTTAGAAAAACTGTAATGAAAATGTGAAATTCAACAGAATTCATTAATATTATAGTAAAGATTCTTTTATAATTTTGATGCTTTTTTTGTTGGCACAAAAGAATAATATAAAACTATTTTATCCACAAAAGCATTACTACCTGGCAGCACACTAATTCAATTCTACAGCAATGCTCTCTGGTTTATGTTACAAAGTAGTTCTGAATTTTGAAGACATTGACATATCTGTAAGAAGTGGATTCTAAAACAGTGTGGTTTTGTTGAATTAAATATGAAAAGGAATAATGCAATCAGTACAGAATTCCTTTACTTATTTATATTTATGTGGAGTTCAATACAATTCTCAACTAATACAAGTTTTACTTATCAGTATTACCAAGTTTTCCATTTTTTAATGTTACAGAATATTCTAGCGTTGCTGCATGACTGTGAAACGTACCAGCAAAGCCAGAAGTACTACACAAGGAATCAGATAAACTGCTCTGAATGACATGCACTTGTCATCCTCATAGAGTCTTCAAAACAATGGTATCTAGTAGTCTAGCTACTCCTGCTGATTTCTGGTTGACCAGAGTAGAGAGTTAGAGTAAAGTATTCCAGCCTTTCTGGAACTATTCTGTGGAGTAAGCAGAATAACTGAAAGAAAATATGTGAAAATATTCGCCCTCCTGTTCGATCTTTTATTCCCTTTCTATTTCCGGTCCAGTAGCTGTCACTGTGTTCCCAGTCTCTCACTGATCCCACTGCAATTGGTAGTACAATTATAAAAGTCTGAGAATTTTCCATCACTGCTCACACTATGGATTTGTCTTCTGCTGGAAGTAGGGACCCTGCTCCTTCCACAGTCACCAGCATGTACAACTGTTTCACGCTTCTTGTTCTGCTTCTCTTTTATTCTCATCCTCTGCTACACACCCTTCAAGCAAAACCTAACATACCACATACAAGCAGAAAACTGGATACTCAGAAACTCATCACCATGAGCAGGCTATATCTACTTAGATCTCCATTTAAACTGGAGTCCACAAAATGGAAAACCTTTGAATAACTTCCAGTGTAGCTTTCAATAAGAAATGTTAGGCTTCAGAGAGTTGTTGTTTGTAACCAGTTATTTAGTTCAGTGTTTAGTGTTTAATTCTGAAACCAATAAAAAGAAAAAAAAATCTGCAGAAAAAATCAGATGGTTCACATATTTTTGTATATTGTGGGTACAAATCAAATGTAGAAACTCAAAAATCAATCAGACTGCATTTAACAGGTCTGTCAATGAATATTTTAGCAGCCAGAAATTTAGGTTCTTTTCTTGCTATTTTTTTTTCCCTCCTTCCCACAGCATTTGATCATTTTTTGAATGGAAGAATAACTACAAAATTATCTTAATCACCAATCTGATAACTCAATCATATTGCTCATTCATTATCAATTTTTCTGGCTTTTCTATATAGTACTTGCTGTCTAAAGAAACTTAGTAACATCCCGCAGTACGTTTATGTGTGTAAGACCTTTTTAAAGTTATAAGAATATAACAGAACTAGCAAAAATCTGGAAGAAAGCTATGAAGCTCACTGGAGATTTAATTGACAGTCCATCTCAAGGAAAGTAGCATTTCTCTTTCATGTAGAGGTATTCACTTCTGTAGTAGAAAGCTAATGGACAATTTTTCTTATTAAAGAATTCCCATGGATCTCAATGGGATGGAACAGAGCTTTATGTTCACTAGGGACCACATGTCCAGTGTTAGGCCAAAAGCAATAAATGCAGAATAGGCAGTGACTTGTAAGGAGTCACTTAGGTAAGTGCAAAGGTAAAAAATACAAATATTTTGTGGTTACCTTCTTGCCCATACTAACCATGGGTGATTAATCCAAATATCATTAATGTTTTTGTCAGAATAAAACTGTCACAGATTATTGTTAACACAACCCTTCTCTTTCAGAGAGAGTCAAGGAAGGAGACCAAACAATTAATAGACAGTTTCAAGGCCAAATCAAATCTAAAGACAAATTTTCACAGTAGTTCAAAATGTATGTGGTCATGATCAGTGGTTCACAAATTAACAGCTTGATAAATCATGACATAGTAGTGGCAATCAGATTATCAAGCTAGTTGAAAGCAAATCTATGATCTGCTACTAGAGAAAAAGGTTTGCTAGTAAAGGCTGAGAAATGAGACCATACCGCTGAATATTTCAGTAATCGGAGTAAATTTCACAGTCTGGAATTAGAAAATACTGTAACATATTTTACTTTGGCCTGATAGACTAATCTGCATTTCGTGGGAAAAAACTAAAAATAGAAAGATATTGTCCTTCAGATCTCTTCCCTTTTCACTTGTGCTCCCTATGAAAATTTCAGTGCTAAAAAAGCTGAGGTGCTGCCACTATTGTTTTTCAAGCTGTTATAGATCAGTGTTACTTTGCATTCAATCTGTTTGTTTTTAATACTATCTTTTTTTTCTTCTATTTACAGAGTAAGCTCTTCTGGACAAGGAACCATTCTTTTATTAGAATATATTTGTGCTGTAATTATGTATTTAGGTATTCTATATATACATCTGCAGTATATCACATATCCTTTCTGTAACTGTATTTCTATTACATCAATATATAAAATCTCTGAAATTAGGTCTCTCATCCATGAAGAGGAATTCAAAAGCTTTCTACTATACAACAAATAGGCTTAGAGCAAATGATAGAAGAGGGAGAAAAATGAATCTAGCTGACAAATTTCTAAATTATACAGTGTCAGAATTTGTCCATATCTAAAGAATATTATGTTTATAATAGTTATGAAGTAGCTTTGAAAATATTTTGTGCTATCATTTAAGCTCATCTAAAGAAAAAAACTGTGGTTAACTACTTGCGTAGAATGTCTTTGTTGCTCCAGAATTTATTAAATTCCTAGGGATGCTTCATAAAGATATTGAAAAGTGCATGTGGTGCAGCTCAACATTTAAGAAGTTTTATGCATCCATAGATATCCTGCATGTCATAGAAGAACTCCAGAGATCTAGGTGCATTGTAACCCAAAACAGCAATGAATGAGTTAAAGCTGAGTAAAGAGTGACACATTTAATTTGAAGCACTGTTTTGCAGTGCCACTGGACCAAATGCTGCAAGCACAGAGTTCTGGCACTCGGGTCCTGGGTTTCAGAGATCCAATATCTTCCTACCTACTCAGTGAGGCCCAAGACATGTTCAGATCAGAGAAAAATGTGACCTTTAAACATATGAATGGCATAATAAAATCTGCTGTTGCACCACTGGGATACTTGCTTTCTGTTACTGATAACCAGCTGAACCTGTGTATTTATACAGTTACATGCCCTCCTAGATCTAAATATAACTTCTCCTATTCAGTTAGGAATCAGACAGATGCATTTTCATTGCTCTTTCCTGAAACAAAACTTCATTGCAGAGAGATGAACGTTATGGTCTCAAGGTTAGTATAAAGATGCAGTCAGTCTTCAGTC